TATGGTATGGTATATGGTATGGCCATGGCCCATATAACCCATAGTGTAATACGGGTTTACAGCTGTAAATATGGCATCCAAGAATAGCAATAGATTTCTCTGAGTACACGTCATCGTCCTAGCCATGCAGGGTTCTTGTCATCTTTCCTTCTCATTTTATGCCCTCATTTTCAGTAATTTCAAGTTCTACTATATGTTGTTGACATCCTGATTTATTCTGACACCTCCTTTTTCCTTCTGGTCATACATTTTGCCTAGGTATGATGATGATATCCACACACAAATGACTAGGAAGCATGGGGCACAAAGCAGCCATTTGTTGACCACCACTATCTCTAATGCAGCGACAGTGACAACTAACATCCTCTCTCTTATGATACTGGAGATGCTCCTTGCATATTTCTGATCAAATATTAAATCATGTCTCACTATACGACATCCTATCCGACTCGCTGCTTGACATCTATGGCAGCGCAATGATGTTCTTACATGTGGCTTCATTGCAGCTCTTCTGTGTTAAAGTCCTGACTTCTCTGCTGGAATATTCAACCCTTTTGTATGATGGTAAGCCTCAAGATATGCACAAGATCATAGAGCCTTAATTTTTTTGACAAAGAGAAGTGCTAAGCATATCTCCAGGTATGAATCGATGCTGATGGTTGCCCTTTGTGGCCATATGTATCATACACCCATATTATGGCCATACTGTATACCATACTGTACTGTCAAGCCTGCTTGACATGGTGGATATGGTACAGATACAGGTGACCTGTACCTGTCAGATCACCGTAAACCTTATGGCCATACTCATATATGGGTACAGTGGGCATCCCTAGCAAAGTATTTTGCAGCATTTGAGGTTTGTTGCATCTCACCATTTTCTCTGTGTTTACTGAAGCTTTTTCAAAGTAAAGTGACATCCATACATTGGTCATTATCTCCAAAGGTCTTTCCTAGTGATTGAAAGAACTACCAGAGGCTTGCATTTTCCTGGTTTGCACAGACACTACTTGTGGAATATTGATGACCCTGTGGCCATGCGAGCTGGCATGATGTCCAGTTAGCCTGAGTTTTGCTGAGTAAAGGTTTACTAAGAGAAAGAAAGTACTAGAAGATACAGAAACATCAGTAAGTTCGCACTTGTGTGGTATGCATGGTATGCATGGCATGTATATGAGATTTCAAGCCATGCACAGTCATGCATTGTCATATCTTAGTGATACCTATGAATTGTCACCATGCAAACCATGCCATTATATGGTAACTGCATGGCTACATGGTGACAATATACCTATCTCACCTTTATCCTCCCTTGCTAGATTCAATCTATGCTCATGTCGCTAGAGCAATGGTAGTGCAATAACTTGTTACTTGGGAAGAATGATAACAGTATGCGTGACATGGCATTGGTTGGACCATTGAAGAGGCTCTATGCATGCCAAGCTCGAAATGCAATAGCATAGACACACTAAACACACCACTCTCACACTCACACACACACAGAATCTCTGTAGTTTGGGGGAGATGTGTGATGCAAGCACACAATAACAGTAGAATTAAAAGATGTCTTGCGCTCTTCAAGATATAATAGTGTGCTAGCTCAAAAGAATTCTCTAAGTCCAAATGCTTTTAGGACAGGAGGTGAGCAATATGTATCGCTTGGCCTTGAGGCAAAAGTAATATTTCCCAAGCCCACAAGTGTCCCACAAGAACGTACAACCCTCAATTGACATTGCACGTAACACACAGGTGGCCACAACTCATCAAACAAACCACACACAACTTAAAGCTTCGTGCTCTAAGCAGAATACACTTCAGAAACCTTTCGTAGATCCACAGGGTTCAAACCTATGTGATCCAGAGACACAGAAACACAGGAATACATCCACAAGCCACAGGGTTTGAACCTATGCCACTTGGGAATAAACCAAAAACCCTCAAAGAGTATTGACAAGCCAAAGGGTTCGAACCTCTGCCACTTGCAACAACTCAGAATTCACAAACACATTCCACAAACACAAATGCACATTCAAGTTATCACAATACAATATTTCTCCAAGTTGAGCACAATCAATTACTGTCCAGAATCAAGCTAAGTGTCATGCATGAGCAAGGCATGCCTTGCGACCTCTCAAGAGTTTCAAAATAATTCTAGATCCAATAATATTCTCTTGCTTGAAGCTACAAACACAAGTCCTTTGGTTGCACACTAGGCTTCTCTGCTTCGTGTCACAACTGTGGGGGTTTGAAAGCTTGCTACCTACTTCTAATTACCATGCTTTTATCTACAGCTAATTATATAAATAGAAATATCAAAAATAGATACGCTCCACCCTGGAGCCATTTCCTCTCCATGACGCATCAATTACATGGTCACTAATTAATATTCTGAGTCAGTCATCTGAGTTAGTGCTCGATAACACACTGCTCTTTCTTCTTGGCAAGGTCTAGAGTTGCCACATCATGCAGAATATTTCTCCTAATTTGCTCCTTGTTTTTAATTCCTCTATTGTGCACATTGCTAGTGAGTTGGTATTTTTATTTGGTTGCCACACCACCTTTTCTTAGTTCAATATTTCATTCTGGGTACAGGGTTTCTCTTGTGTCAGCTGAAGCCCTCTCAGGAGGCTCAGACTGGGTGGTCCTCAGTTCTGAATGACATCTCTCAGTGATTGCTGGATCAGCAGGGTTCGTGTGTCATAGATCAATGTTGCGCAAAGCTCCATAAATATATTATCTTTTCAGTGTATTTTATTTGAGCGAGATGCTGCTGAGGGATGCATAGGGTGTGAGTTAGGCACTGAGACTCCACACTTAAATGACACCAGTGTGCCGCTCTAAGTCTAAGCCATGCACTCCACTCGGATTATTTTATTATATGCTGCTTCTGCCTCAACAGGTGTCGCTCCATGTTGGGTAGGCACTCTAATATTACTTAGTGGATTGACACACATTTGGATTCACAGAATTCACAAAATTACATGTATGAACATGTTGCATGCATGTCACTGTGCTGGCAATTGCTGGATCACGTGCATGTTGAACTTGCAGAAATTTTTCCTTCGCGCCTTGTCTTCTCCCTTCCTTCTCTCTTATGGTTTGGTTTCCCTGCATCAACAGCCAGCTCTGTTATGTGGCTTGACTCCTGGATATTATGGTTACCACTCTCTAAACTCCTCGCTATCATGTTGAACAGTCTGGTCAAATTTTCTTCAAGTCAGCACAGCTGTTCCTGTTACAAAGTCGAGGAATCCAGAGAAGTACGATGTCACCGAGATCTTCGAAGGTGTGAAGGCATTTGCTGTGACTCTGCTCTGCTTATGCTCATCCAAAATTCTAGGCAATAATTGGGAACTCGTTACAGACTTGATGGCAAAGGCGAAGCAAGTCAAATATCTCATACGGTCTCTGCCACAGCCGGAGGAAAGGGAAAATCAGGTATGCGGTCAGTGTTCTGCATAAGTTCTATGAATGCTAGTGTATAGGATTGGTGACTGACTTCTAATGTGGTGCAGGACACACTCTCTCTGGCTGGACTCTGACACATCTGTTAATATATGCAAGTTCCCTTGTTGTGGTTCTTTGCATGTGACACTGACTGCTGGTCTGTATGTAGTCCACTGTGTGAATGCCATGATTTGAAAGTGGAACTGGCAGAGACGGTTAGCATTATTGGTGGTGGCTTGGGGTGAGTTTCATTCACATATCTCATGTTCCTTTGCTCAATTCCTTATTCCCAGGGTGCTTGTAGCTAATCAATAAGCCTCGAAGTGATCTGGAAGGCCATGGGGTTATTCTAATGGTTTATGTGAGTGGTTCTAAAAAATTCACTATTTCTCCATTAATCAAGTTCACTACAGTGTATTGGCTGCACATGTTGGTGGATTAGATAGTAAGGTATTGCAACAGTTACTTTGTAAAGTCCATTGTATCATATATACTGTTTAAATGCAACCATTTTCATTCTAATTTGTCTGGTATGGCCTTTTTGTGAGGCAGTATAACTGCGTGGATGGGGTGGGGTATAACTGCATGGCTGTATATAATCCGCCATATGGGGTGCATGGATTTATGTAGGTACCTTATAGAGCCATGCGCATGTATAACTGTATAGCTCGCATGATTCACATGGTGCCATGTGTGCCATATGGATGTTAACTTACTGATGAAGGTATTTAAGTAGCAAGATTTTGTAGTATTCTGTACTTGTTTGCCTTCTAAGCAAACATGATCTACTCACTAGGCAAACGTGCCTGAGCACACAGTGCGCATGTTATCCAACACTACTGAGAGAGCAGGGGCCGTATCCGATACTAGACCTGAGAGAAGGTTATTGTAATGTTATCGGTATTATGTTTCTGACTGACTCATGGGATCTAGACGTGACTTTCTACCTTCATATCCAACCAAATATAAATTCCTTACCAAAACATGACCTGGATACCCTCTCGGTGTCGGTGATATTCAATGCCCCTGCCATCACTTCACGATCACCTCCCGAGATGTCATGGCCTTTCAGCTTCGTCGCAAATGGCACCCCCATACCTCCCGAAGAAGCCGAGCAAATCCTCTCAGCTAAAATCGACATGAGTGCTCAGTTGGTATCTTATAAAGTACGGCCATCGAAGGGGCCTCAGCGCGTTTGCGTGAATTAGCAGCTATGTGTGGGTTCGATCCTGCTCTGGAAGGAGCAGATATATGCAACTATTTCGGCTTGTTTCCTTTTGAAATATTTGATGAAACGGGCGGCAATGTTACCGGTTAGTGTTCTGTATGAGTAATTCTTTTGTAATTTATTGTGCTAGTTTACGATTGAACCCAGATGACGTTTGAGCAGTAATGGCCTCATACGCGGCAGTATCGAGAGGCAAGGTGGGGGGAGCTTGAGTACCAAAACATCTGTCGCAGTTGTTACAGAGTAGAAGATAGGATTCCATCGAGATCTCCAATGTGGTATATTAAGAATAAACCATTGGAAAATAGTCCCAAGTTTTACTGTTACAGTACACAGCTGCATTACGTGCTGTTACTAAGGCGCAGATTATACAATAGCATCCCAAATCCAGGCGTATCGGCCGTCCTATAATCGTAATCAACCATCAGTTCCTATTCCGCTTGCAAAATGTAACTTGAACACACCCCTGCTCTGGCCGATTTTCCATCACCGCCTCGGTCACCCACGGAGCTATAACATCATCAGCACACCGACTTCCACGACGCCAGGAGAAGAAACCGACCTTCAAGCCCCATCTTTACCACATATTTCGCGTACGACAACTCGAATATACCGTCTTGCACTCCACACGAAACAATCGAAATCTCGGTCCATGGCCCGTTCACCAAAACAGCTTGACAGCGAGCCAAGCTGGGGTCGTACGGGACGTTATCGTCTCCTGTATTATACCGAGCCAAGTAAATGGCAAGGATAGCCTTGGTGGTCGTGGTGATGGAGAGCAGAATGATCGAGCCTAAGTGGGGTGATTGCTGGACGATGGCGATCGCATCGAGTTCATGTCGAGCACTTGCTCATAGTAAGTCCTGCCCTTTCCAAGCTCTTCCTAAAGAAAGTAATCAGATCTTGGAACTGCTTCATGGTGCTAAAGAAACGTACCGAGGCGGCCCAACGAACGCCAACGTTCACGCATAAAGCCAGCACAGACCACAATCGGTGAAGGCTACGTCATCAGGAAAGAGGACGGCCCTCCGCTTGTCTGGATGGTGGTAGGCAGGGTCGAGCTCATAGAAGTTATCTTGTTCACGAAAATTTCAAAGGATCCTCTGCAGAAAAAAGACGGTCAGATTTCACGCACGATACGTACATCCCATGAAAAAACTGACCTGATACCCAAAATCCAAACGATGGTTCTGCCATGTTCTTGAGACCGAGATATCTTGGCAATAGACAGGGAGAGTAGACAGAAATATTGGTTCATCACGGAAAGCAAAAGGCAGGAAGAGAGAAATGCTCCCAGAAAAAGAGGGGAGTCGCGTCGATGATGGTGGTAGGAAGCAAAGAGCCTGCAACCGGGTAATCGGGCCGACGCGTCTCTGCTCTCGTGCTCTCATGCCGCGTGACGCACTATATACTCAAATTCAACGTCAAAAACGATGAACTGCAAGAAACATCTAGTACACCGGTTCAATGAACTCAAAATTGACTAACTCAGATGTTGCTCGCTCACAGCGTTGTACGAGATGGAAGACCCTCGTCTTATCACCCGGTGAATCCATGCTTATTATCACGGCATTCACAATTTTAACTTGTACGTGAATACACATCTCTGAGCTCTTCTCTACCAAAGTGTAATTATTGTGCCTCGTTTTCGAAGAGCGTCAACCCTAGACAAAGTATCCCCTCTGAGCCCGCCTCCCATCCTCACACCTATCACAACAGACTCGAACGCCCGATGCTCAACCAGATCCATAACAGCAGCCTCATCCGCACTTTCCGACCAGACAAGCTGCAAATGCTGCAACGCTGGAAGCATCCTTGGATCATAAAGCCCCTGTATGAAATTGGGAGTAATGAGACGCATTTGCACCCTGTTTTGCTCCACGATGGATAACCTCAGGAGGTTCGGCGCCATGCGAAGGATGGAAAGTGCATCGGTGGAAGGAAAGTCAACGGTGGTGAACGTGAGCTCCGTGAGAGACTGGGAGACGCGTTTCACGAGGTTGCGAAATACCTCTGCCTTGTAAGCGTTACGGTACACTTCCTGATCAGTGCTGGCCAGCTCTAGGGAAGTGAGGTATGGGATTGTCGTTTGTGAAACATAATCTCTGACATTGTCTAGCAGCACATCTTGGAGAAGTAACTTTCGGAAGGGAAGGTCGCTTGTGTTGAGCAAATCCAGATTGCAGCCATGAAAGGTAGCTGTGGCAACATTGGGGAACCTCTTATGGCGCTGCAAAGCGTCGATGTTCCGCGATCGATAACCAGAATAGTGGATCGTCGTGATCTGTTCGTCCGGCAAGCGGAAATGTGCGATATCGAGGTAATTGCCCAAAGAAAGGGTACGCAATTTCGGAGCATGCGCAAATAGACCGATGACCATCTCATTAGGGAATGCTTCTAACATTCCGCAGAGCTCGAGATGTTCCAGTTCCGGAAATTCAATGTGGCTATCTTCTAGCGCTACGTTATCGAACTTGAAATTCAAATCTAGGGAGATGTTCTTCAGGCGGCGCAAATTAATGGCGCTGCCGCCGTAGAACAACGAATCCAAACAGTGATAGTCGGTCCGCAGAATGCTAAGGTATAGGTCCGACGGTGGGTACCGTGCTGATACATCGAGGGATAATGGGAGCTCGCAGGAACGCTCTTCGACCATTTTTGAGAGGTTTTTCAAACGCGGCAATAGGTCTGAGTTGTCCACGTTGGCAAATATGGATGTCCAAAGTTGAGGTGAAGAGAGACATATGTCGCGCCAATATGTGCAGACAGCAGAGAGGTGGAAAGGTCCTTTGCATGCGAATCGCCTCTCATTGCGACCATCGTAGGATGGGACAGGAATGCAGACGTGTTCAAAGATGATGGAAACGACCTCTGGGGGAAGCGTGCGAATGGGTGCAGCAAGAGATCGAACTTTCCTAACCGATTTCCTGGTCAACTGGCGCCCAGCTTCGAGGGTCTCCACGATGGACTTCAAGTTGGATATGTGCGAATTGTACTCGGATACCTTCTTGCGTAGTTCTGAGAGGGTTTGCGAATACGCTTCTTCTTCCAATTTTGGAATAATCTGTCTTCCGGATCGTAGATATGCATCGACATCGAGAGAAAGAGAAGAGACTTGGGTATTAAATGAGTGGCCGCAGTTTCTACAAAGTGTGATGGAGGCTTGGATTTGGGCCATGGGCGTTGTAAGGGAGGAATATGTGTTTGAGGGCGTTCTTGAGGTCTCAGGAGATGAAACCCGAATAAATAAGTGTAAAGCAAACGGCAGACTTGCGGCAAACTGAGACTTGAGCGTTTCGAGTCGATGATCTTCGAAAACATAAGACGACATTAGGAGAGAAGAGCTCGTGAATATATTATACGCACGAGTATACGTGGTACAAAGAGATGATTGGTGTATCACCGGATGAATTCTTACTCTGGCCCATTTGCCATCACAGCCTTGGTCACCCACAGAGCTATAGCGTCATCAGCACGACTTTTCCCCGATAGCAGGAGAAGAAACAGACCTTCACGCCCAATCTCCACCGCAGATTCGCGTACGGCAACTCAAAGATACCGTCTTGCACTCCACACAAAGCATTTGAGACCTTGGTCCATGGCCCGTTAACCAAAACAGTTTGACAGCGAGCCTAGCTAAGGTCGTATCGTCTGCTATATTATACCGAGCCAAATATTTGTACGTACCCTACACTCATCGGTATGCGTCGAGGAAAGGAGAGCAGTTATACCATTCAGAAGAAGGTTTGCCACCATGTTCCACACCTTCGGCAAGCCTTGGTTCTCGATTATCTGTACAGCAATTAGCGAACTGATATCCCAAGTTCAGTACGAAGCGATTTCACCTTGACCATACTCGCCAACCATGCCGTTCCTACCAGCAACGCCATAACTCGCCTGCCCAATCGGACCAAAGTCGGTGCAACAGCTCTAAAGAACATCGCCGTGACTGCAGCATAATCCGTCGTATTCATTGGTCCCAAGTATCGCAGAATCTCCGCCGCCTACAGGCTACATCTATGTCAGTCAATCTTGACGAGAATTAATACGATGGGTGCATACATTGACGAAACGCTGCCCCCGCAGGGCAGCAGCAAGCTGAGAATCCGTCCCGTTCACAATGGCGAGGATGCTAGCCCATCTCGAGAATATCTCGATATCCGTCTGTGCATGTACTTGCCCATGTTAACGCATCCTAGTTTCTACGCAGTGAGATTGAGAGAATGACAATTTCATGGACATCAGTCTACATAGTACGCTCCCTGTGCATCTGTATTCAGTCAGCGACTGATTAGAGGAATTAAACACACCGACCATTCTGCCACCATGTCCAAGACAATGAGCTCGGCGACCCACGCTGGACATACGAAGCCGGACCAGCCATCGTATACTCGGCTTGGGCAAAGCGATTTGCAGAAAAGTTGGCAAACGCAGATACCCATGGCCTGACAGACTCTTCGAAGACGCATTTCTTGATACGAGTGAAGTCGTCTGTTAAAGGTCGTCCGTAATACAACAGAGGTATGAGAAAGAGGACAATATACCGGCCGTGTGGAATAGTCCTGGATGTACGAACTCCCTTGGGCTACGGCAAGAGTGAGCTTCGAATGAGGTGATAATGGCCGATTGTGCTTACTATCTCTTCGTGAAAGAGAGGTCAAATGATACTGGGTAGTACGGGCGGACTCTAGATTGATATGTCAGCGGTAATCACAAAATGTACCCACCGTGCGAAGACCAGTCGAAACGCGTCGCAAGTAGCAAAAAGAGCCACACAATGACTGCTAGTATGGTATCAACAGACTTGGGTGGTATATATGAGGCAAAACGAAGGCCAGCCGGACCGAAAAAGAGTAACATGGAAAGGATTCATGTGATGCTTCGAGCAATAAGCGCTGTGGTAGCGCCATGGGTGAACAGTGGCATCCCAGTTAGTCTGTGAGAGAAAGAAGCATTTGAGATCCAAACGGAGTCTCATGATGCATAATTCGCATGCTTGGCCGAGGTTCGTTTGAGAGAAATAACCCGTGCGCATGAATTATTGTGAACTCGATGATCCAGAGGGCGGCTCTGGTCGTTGACCATCGCGTAGTCTTCAGGATCGTAATAATCGATCCAATACCGGCCTAATGACTAAACGGGATGCCGTTAGTCTCGGGATATCAAAGATCACTAATACGCACCGAAATCTCCGCGAAGAGTTCCCTAGAGATGGCAACATAAAGACGGGAGATTTCTCTTCTCTTCTCTTGACCACCATGACAGAACCGATTCGCTTGGGAGTTATCGGCCTATCCACCAAAGGATGGGCGTCCACGAATCTTGTACCTCCCCTTCTGGCTCCACCTCTCTCTTCGCATTACAAGCTTCTCGCTGTATCCACATCGAACCCTACGTCTGCCGAGGCAAGTGCAGCGAAGTATTCCACTGCCGAGACCGCGGTGAAGGGCTATCATACTCCTGAGTCCATCGCTGCAGATCCCAACCTCGATCTGATCGCCGTGTCAGTGAAGACACCCAATCATGTAGAGAATGCCACAAAGGCCATTGAGGCTGGGAAAGATCTCTTCATCGAGTGGCCGGCTGGGCGAGAATTGAGGGAAACAAAGCTTCTCGCTGACCTAGCGAAGGAGAAGGGGATCCGGACGATCGTTGGACTTCAGGCCAGACAGAGCCCATTGTTTCGCAAGGTGAAGAAGTTGGTCGAAGAAGGAGAAATTGGAGATGTTTTGTCCACGAGCGTGGTGAGTAGGCCTTGGTGATCTCACATAGCGTCCCTCTCATTGATGGTAGACATCACGAGTATCCGGTCCGCATGTGCCGTGGGGACCAACAGTGTTTAAAGGAAGCGAATATTGTTTGAAAAAGGAGAACGGCGCGACACTTCTTGATATCGCTGGAGGCCATTTCCTTGAGGCCTTCACATATATTCTTGGACCGATTGATACTGTATTCGCTACCGTGGTCGTCCAGCACCCCTCATCCCAAGTGCTCAATTTTGATGGCACACCCACTGGTGATGTTGTCTCCATTGACGGTCCGTCACAGGTAGCCGTATCTGGCACGCTAAAGAGCGGTGCTGTGATAAGCTTGCACTGGCGTACGGGGATGGAGAAACCTGCCAATGAGAAAGCGGCGACTCCGCTTGTATGGGTTATCGACGGGACGAAAGGAAGCATAAGGATTGAGAGCGACAA